GATATATATATATATATATATATATATATATATATATATATATATATATATATATATATATATATATATATATATATATATATATATATAGAATCTCTGGAGCCTGATGAGGGGCATGCAGTGGTTCATTGCAATTATTGTTAATGATATTATTATTATTCAACTTTCATTTACTACTATTTTTCCAATTACATTTATTTGCACATGTATTTTTTCATTGATTATTTAATAAAATAAATGATGGGATATCACAATTTGGTTTGTAAATTTCTTTTTTGAAATATAAGGAAAAATCCCCAAATGGTACTCGTAGTATTTGTTAACTACCTTCATCCAAACATCTGATCTGTTGTTGTTTGGAATTAGAGGATTCACGATCGGTAGTGATTGTCTTTGTTAAATATATACTATATAATATATTTAATATTATTGTATTATTATTGTTACCATATTTGTATAGGTTTCTTATATTGTCTCTCCTACCTTTATTAGGATTGAGACTCTTGTATATATCTACATGTACTCTCCTCTCAATTATTCAATGAAAATAATCTTTCTTCATGGTATCAGAGCCTAACCAAAAACCCTAATCTCTCCTCCTCTCACTTTTTCGGCCTTCCTCATCCTTCTCCGATTCACCGGCGCCATCGCCCTCCCCCTCCTTCTCTCTCGGCCGGCCTTCTCCTCCTCCCTACCATGGCTAAAAGTGAGATCACCTCTCAGTCTACCACTCCAAAATCTCCCCATCTGGCTTTCTCTGTCTCCAACGTCAAATTACATGTCCCTATTCAACTCAGCTTTTTCTCAACCAAACTACAAAAAGTGGAGCCGGTTGTTTCTCCTCCTTGCACGTCGGTTCAACCTCCACGGTTATCTTGATGGCTCTATCGTCCCCATCTTCGACGACGATGATGAATGGTTTCAACTTGACGCCATTCTCCAGGGTTGGATTCTCTCCACCATCACGGATGAAGTCTCTGATCTTGTTATTTCCTCCGTCTCTACTGCCTCTACTCTCTGGAAAATTATTCATGATCTGTTTCATGATAACAAACATGCTCGCGCCATGCAACTCGAGCACCAATTTCGCACCACAGTCAAGGGATCTACCCCCATGGCCACTTATTGTCAAGAACTACGAAATATTGCGGATTGGCTGGACGACGTCGACGCTCCCGTCTCGGAGCACCAATTAATTCTTCAGATGCTACGCGGCCTCCCCGATGATCTCCAGGCTCAGACCTCGTTCCTCCAATTTCAGGATCCCATGCCAAGCTTTCTGCTGGTCCGGTCGGCTCTCCTCCTTGATCGGCAACGGACTCCTCTAGGCAGCACCAGCAGCACGGCGCTGCTGGCAGGGCACGGCGGGAGCAACTACACCGGCAGACAGCACAGCGGCAATGGCGAGCGTGGCTCCGGCAGTAACTCCGGCAATGGGGGGACACTTTTTTGGCAGCAACTATGGTGATGGTTCATCCTCCGGGCAGCGTGGTGGCTCTGGACGCGGACAAGGGCGCGGCAACGGCAACCGGGGTCGTGGTCGAGGGCGCCAAAACAGCGGATCGAGGAAGCGACCACCCACGGACGCGCACAATTTCTGGAACTCACCGTATCCAAACCCTAACCCCGGGGTGTTAGGCCCCTGGCCCACCCCCACACCCCACCCATACCATGCCCATGCCCACTATACAACCATCCCACACCCC